ATGGATATGAAAAATCAACACCTGAGAGGGAATTGGTTAAGAACTACGTGGCACTCCATGTTGAGTATGCTAAAACGGGGTGAGTACATATGGTTCCGTTGCTTGCAGTAAAGAAACCCCATACGTAACATAACATCTTCCTAACGTCTTCTGACATTAGCGCACTAGTATATAAATGCATTATAAAGTTTATTATTATTATTTTGACAGAAATATTTTATTTTCAGCACTGTCGAAGCCTTCAATAAAATGAGCCCTTGTTCGAACGACACATTTGACCGACTCGACGGAGCAGCCATTCGTGATTATTTGACGATTGTTAATGATTTGGAATTATTACGGGTTGGAAATAAGTGGAATGTGAAACGTGGGAATAGTTAGATAAAACTCTTTTTGATATTTAAAACATGTGCGTTAAAATCGCATTTGTCAGAAAAAAAGAATAAAAAAATAAATGAAAAGTATTGTGAGCATTCAAAAGAATTTACTTTGTATTGTAAGAAACCAATTCCTTCCTTTATTACTAGTGTATACAAACAAGGTTTAGGAGCTGAAGACGCACGTCTGTTAGCAATTATGTTCAAGACTATGAAAAAATGTCTTTAATGTGTTCCTTCAAGTTGGTAAGAAGTCTGACAGAGATACAAGGTATCCCAAAATTAACGCAAGATTTCAATTTGTAGGCATTTCAATAAAGCTTCGCAGTTGACGAAGTTAAAGCACTATTTCGACCATATTTTATTATGAAATTTTTAAACTAAATATTTTTCAATAATGAAGACAAGTCATGCTATCGTGTAACTCTTCATTTTTACTGAGCTTAAACTGTTGGCTGTCGATTTGATTTTTGCGCTTGTTATTACTTTATTAAAGGGTTACCTGGGTTTCCGAAGGAAAAAATCGATTTTTTATAATTTCTGGAAATAGAGTGGCATACTCCAAAGGTACTATTCGTTCGAAGATTTATCTCGATATATAAAGTGCGTCTTGTTTTATATACTACTCTGATCAAATTGAAAGATTAAATTTTTAATTTATACTTCGCGTTTTTTTCGGATCAGTAAATTTGTTTTTCTGTATTTTGATAGTACTGTTAGATGTCACTAAATTGCTTGCTAAATTTCACGTCAAAATAATCGCTGTCTCTTATACACATCTAGATGTGTATAAGAGACAGATCATGGCCGGAACCTTTCCTAACCGAAGATATATTCAAATTAATCGGAGTCCAAAAATGCCTAAAACTGTGCCATGGATTGGTGGTTATACCTCGTCAATTGGTGAAGGCACGGTCATTGCGCTAAGATTATCTACGGATCC